CCCCTGCCTCCCGCCCCGAGAAGAAGCTGGGAAACAGGTCACTCTGGATCCTCCTTGGGAGTGGTTTTCCTCGGGGGGGAACAGCGGTGCCGACCTCCGCTTCCCGAGCGGGCTCCCGTGCCAGCCTCGCGACGGTGGCCCCCACGCGAGGAGGGGCGCGAGGGGGGCGTGGCGTCTCGGCGAACCTGCGAGGTCCCTTCCGCCTCTTCTTAGGCTGCTGTGAAAACAAGCTGCTGCCCACTCGTCGGGTCCATACCGGCCCCAAGAGAAACAGTCCGTGTGTCCAGGGGTTTTCAAGGGCTTGGAGCATTTCCGAGGGAGGCTTTTCCAGAAGCTTCCTCCGTGGTCCCGGCTCAGAGAACTGGCGAGGGTCGGCTGCGGCTGGCGGGTCTCCTTCCAGCCCGGAGGTTTTGTCGTGTTTCCCTCTAGTGTCTTGAAAGTCAGACTAGGAGAAGTATTGCCACGCGCCGCGTGTTTAAGGCACCCGTGAGCTGAAGATGCACCTTCCTCAACGTGCTGCGAAGCGAACCACGAGAATGCATAGGTTGCAAGAAGCACCCTTGTATCCGAGTCAAAAGATATCTTTAAGTGCTTTTTTCAGAATCGCTGAAATACAATCGCGACCACTGTTCCGGGGACCTACCTGGTTATTTTTTTCATTTGATCTGGGGGGGTGGTATTCTCTCTTTTTTCGAGTTGGAGTCTCACTCGGTCGCCCAGGCTGGAGTGTGGCGGCACGCTGGCGGCCACTGCAGCCTCGACCTGCTGGGCTTAGGCAATCCTTTCCCCCTCAGCCTACCAAGTAGTGGAATGACAGATGCACACCACCACACCCAGCTACTTTTTGTGATTTTATTGCAGAGACAAGGTCTCAAACCCCTGGGCTCAGGTAATCCTCTCCCGTTGGCCTCCCAAAGTGCTGGGATTATAGGCGTGAGCCACCGCGCCCAGCCCTTTGGGTTTTTTTTTTTTTTTTTTTAAACCATAACTTCTGGAGAGTCTTGTGCTGGTGTGGGCACCGGTGGTGAGGCAGGTGCCCTGGGTGAGGCTGGTAGGACTCCTGAGCCCAGCCCACTGGGGTGCAGACCACTCAGACTGCTCACATAGGCGACTCTTAGTGGGCTGGAATCATTTGAAGCAGGGAGAGAAGGGGTCACAGGTAGCTAACGTTAAAGCGTTAAAAGCTGCGTTAAAACACAGCTGCTTCTCCGTGATCCGGGATAATTGTATGTAGGTAAGCTGAGCAGATGTGACTGAGGGTCTGTCCGTGTTGTGGTCGTCGCCCCTGCACATCTGTCTCCCCTGCTCGAAGGCGGTCCTGGAAGGGCTGGATCCCCATCTGTGTCTTTGTGGCCTTTACAGCTTGCTCCACCGAAGAGAGGGGGAATAAACCAGCAGCAATGGGATGGACTGACTGACTGTTTCGGGAGGGGGATGCAGGAGAACATAGAAAGCCTGGGGGTGAGTTAGGGGCCTAGTTTAGGCAAAAAGCAATAAAAGCCGGTTCCTTGGATGGCAGCTGCCACAGGATCAAAGTGGACAGTGCCCATGATATGCCTGGCAACTGTTGGATGGCAGTTGCCACAGGATCAAAGTGGACAGTGCCCATGAGATGCCTGGCAACTGTTGGTGCTTAATAAGTGTTTGCAAGGGTGGGCTCGGTGGCTGAGCCTGTAATTTCAGCACTTGGGGAGGCCAAGGTGAGTGGATTGCCTGAGCCCGTGGGTTTGAGACCCACCTGGGCAACTTGGTGAGACCACATCTCTACAATAAAAAAAAAAAAAAAATTAGCCGGGCATGGTAGCACATGCCTGTAGTTCCAGCTACTTGGAAGGCTGAGGTGGAACCCAGCAAGTCGAGGCTATGGTGGCTGGGAGCGTGCCACTGCACTCCAGTCTGGGCAACAGAGTGAGACTCCAACTGAAAAAATAGTATTTGCAGCATGGAGAAAGGTGAGAGGGGCTGGAAAGGGAAGCCGCTCTTGCAAAGCTGGCTGCACCCTGCGCAGCTTGGCCTTCTCTGTGACCTGACTCCACTCCCAGCCGTGCTCTCTTTTTGGCCATGTTTGCTCGTAAAGTTGGTGGCAAAAATGGTTGCTTGGACCTTGGCACCCATCAGAGATGCCAGGCAGAAATGAGCTGAGTCTGTGGCCTCTTTTGTCCATTTCTGCCCACAGGAATGCCAGAAGGACCGTCTGTGAGGAAATTTCACCATTTGGTGTCCCCCTTTGTGGGCCAGCAGGTGGTCAAGACAGGGGGCAGCAGTAAGAAGCTGCACCCTGCCAGCCTTCAGTCGCTGTGGCTCCAGGACACCCAGGTGAGCTCACCCTCTGCCTGGCTGGCCGCCAGCATGCCCTGTCCTCCCTTCCCCTGGACTCTGTCCTGCAACATCTCAGGCTGTCCCTTCCCCAGCCCAAGACAAACGAGGACTCCCTGCTGTGACCTGCAGTCTGATGTTTCTCAGGTTGAAGGGCATCACGGTAGACTGTGGAACCCGCTCGCACGCCTGAGCTAGAGAAGCTGGAGACCCTGCTCCAGAGGGTCGGGAGTGGTTCTGTTCGCCTCAGACGTGTCTGAGGTGCACATGTGGCTGGGACCTGGCCAGCAGAGAAGTCAGGAAAGGGCAAAGCCTTCAGCCCTAGGCTCACACCTGCTCACGATTGCCCTGAGCAAACGTGCAATTCCTTCTAGGGGCTCTCTGTGGTCTCACTTGGGCTTCCCTCGAGCCTGCTGCTCCTGCCCCAAACCTGTCTCCCGATCTGCCTGTGCTCCTCTTGCCGTCTTTCTACCCGTGGTCTTGACGTGCCGCTCCTCGCTCAGGCAGGTCTTCCTTTTCCTCCCACCCCTGCCCCTGTCCTTGTCCCCTCGGTCTGCCATGGTGATTCCTGGTTTTTCTTCTGGCTTCTGCTTGGCCGTGGCGTCCTCTGAGAAACCGGCCCTGCCAACTTCAGACTGGGAAGTGACTCCACCTCTGTGGCCCCAGGGCAGTCTGTGCCCTCCTGTCGGACCCTTGTTCTGCTTATTTAGTGGAGGAGATGGATGGACAGGGCAGGGCTCCATTCCTCATCGGTGTCGCGTCCCTAGCACTTAGCCAAGTGCCCACCCATCTCTTAGGAGGGATGGGATAGATGTTTGCAGAGTTGCTTAGGTGCTCTCCCTCAGCTTGGCTGTGTGCTCTTAAGCAGGCTACCTAAACTCTTAGCTCTCGTTTCTTTGCTTGTACAATGGGGGCAAGCCACCTACCTGTTGAAGTTGTGGTATTAAGCAGACTTTATGCCTGGCATATAATAGGCACTCCATAAATACTCGTTCGCTTTCTTCCCCCTTGCCCTAGACATACACACACACAAAGGATGTGGAACTGTTCTTAACTGGAACTGGAAGAGGCATGATAACGCTTCACCCAGAGTTCATGCATTTGAGGCTCAGAGAAGGGCATACTTGGCCCAGGTTTAGGTAGCTGGCAAGGGACAGACTGGAACCCAGGCCTTCTGGCCTCCAGGTTCACGGTCTCTTTGTATAGACTATCCTGCAAAGTTTGCAGGGACAAGGTTGTGTCCCTTGCCTCTGGATTCCTAGAATTTACCACAGTGCCTGTGACAGAGTTAGCCATAAGAGAATATGTCCTGAATGAGGCTGGGCATGGTGGCTCAAGCTTGTGATTTCAGCAGTTTGGGAGGTTAAGGCAGGAGGATCTCTTGAGCCTAGGAGTTCAAGACCAGCCTGGGCAACATAGGTAGAACCCATTGCTACAAAAAGTAGCAAAAACAAAACAGACCAAAAAAAACTAGGCCTGGTGACTCACACCTGTAATTCCAGCACTTTGGGAGATGGAAGCGAGAGGATCGCCTGAGCCCAGGAGGTCAAGATCAGTCTGGGCAACATGGCGAGAACCTGCCCGAACAATAAAGCAAAGCGTTAGCCGGATGTGGTGGCACACACCTGTAGTCCCAGCTGCTTGGAAGGCTGAGGCAGAAGGATTGCCTGAGCTCAGCAGGTTGAGGCTGCAGTGGCCGTGAGCATGCCACTGAACTCCAGCCTGGGCAAGAGTGAGACTCCGACTCAAACGAACAAACAAGCACACAAAAACTAGCTAGGTTCGGTGGTATGCACCTGTAGACCCATCTACTCTGGAGGCTTTGGCAGGAGGAACTTTTAAGCCCAGGAGTTTGAGGCTGCAGTGAGCTATGCTTGCGCCACTATACTCCAGCCTGGGCCACAGAACAAGACCCTGTCTCCACAAAGGGGGGGGGGAGAGAGAGAGAAAGATAATATTTCCCAAGTGGATGAATGGACAGACGGATGTGTGGCAAGGGAGGCTGGAACTGGAACTGGGAGCCGGTTTCCCAGGACACAAAGGCAGAAGCTCCTGTGGTGGGAAACCTAGGAGAGGCCCCAAGGAGGCAGCCTCAGGAGCTGCACAGTGGGCGCTTCAGTGCTCTGAAGCCGGCTTCCTTCCCTGGTCCTCTGCCAGTCGTCCCTGCCCCTCAGGAGCGGAGAACTGAATCCGGAGCAGAAGGCCCGCGTCGGCAAATGCAGCTCGCTGAATAGGGGGAGCGCGGGCGCAGGGCTGAGGCCCAGATGGCGGCCTCCTGCTGGAGGGAAGGAGGGCCCTGTGGTCTGGAGGAGAAGATGCTAAGCCGGCTGACTTGACTTGGCCTTGAAGGCTGGAGGAGGTAGATGGGCAGAGGGGGAGGAAGGGAAGGCGTTTCCATCTGGAGAAGCAGCTGAGGCCAGACGGTGGAGGCGGAGTGAGCAGAGTGAGCACGGTGGGTGAGGGATGCAGGGAAAGCTTTCTCCACTCAGTGCTGGCCCCTTCCTCGCCGGCTCTCTGCTTTCTGTGGCAGCGGCTGTGTTTGATGGCTCGGGACAGACTCCGAAGAGGGGCTTCTACTCCTCGGGAGGTTTTCTCGTTCTCCCGTGTGAGAAGTCCGGAGGTCGGCGGGCCAGAGCGGCATGGGCACAACGTGGGGAGCCAGGCTCCTTCCGTTCTCCCCTCCCTTGGTGTGGCCCTCTTCCTCGGGGTGATAACAGGGCAGCTGAGATTCCAGCCATAATGTCGGCAATCCAGGCAGCAGGAAAGAGGAAGGGGGGCAAGGCAGAAGAGACCTGGAAGCTGCTTCACTCCTTTCAGAGAACTTTTCTGGAAAATATATGTGACCACTGGCCTACACATCTCACCGGCCGCCCTGTCTGTGAGGGAGGCTGGAAGATGCAGATTTTTAGGAGGGTAAGTTGCTGCCCCGTAAGTCGGTAGACCTGTGAGCAGGGAAGAGGGGAGAAGGGCTGTTGGGAGGTGGCCGGCAGTCTCTTACAACCCTGGCGCATGGCATCTTCTCTTGGTTTACACTCCCATTTGCAGAAGCGCTCACTCCAGCGCTGCCTGAAAAAGGGGCTGTGGGTGACCGGTCCTCACGTGGCTGTCATGTTGATATTCTACCCTAGTTTCCACGGAGTGGGAGAGCCCCAGACCAGCCCATGGCATTCTTAGACTTTGAGCCAGTCCTCCAGTCTGTAAAAAATGCATAACAGCTTTATTGAGATATAATTTGCATAGCACACACTTCACCCATTTAAAGTGTGCAGAAAAGCTGGGCTCGGTGGCTCAGGCTGTAATCCCGCACCTTTGGGAGGCTGAGGTGAGTGGATTGCCTGAGTCTGCGGGTTCGAGACCCGTCTGGGCAGGCAAGACCTCATCTCTACAATAAAATCAAAAAATTAGCCGGGCGTGGTAGTGCGTGCCTGTAATTCCAGCTACTTGGAAGGCTGAGGCGGAAGGATCGCCGGAGCCCAGCAGGTCGAGGCTGCGGTGACCGGGAGCTGCCACTGCACTCCAGTCTGGGCGACAGAGTGAGACTCCAACTCAAAAAATAAAAAAATAAAAATAAATAAAGTGTGCGGATAACTGGCTGTTAGTACATTTACATTTACTGAGCGGGGCATCCATCGCCACAGTTGATTTTGGAATATTTCCGTTACCCCAGAAAGAAACCCCATGCCCTTGGCAATCGCTCCCCTTACCACCCCAGCCCTTTACCCCAACCCGGAGCGACCACTCTTCGACTACTTCCTGTTTCTCTAGATTTGCCTGTTCGGGAGATTTCGTACATGTTGAATCATGCGATTTGTGTCTCTTGGGTGTGCGGCCTCTTTCACGTGACAGAATGCTGTCAAGGTTCATCTGCATCATAGCATTTGTCCGTGTTTTCTTCCTTTTTACGCCAGAGAACATCCTGTTGAACAGATATGGTGCGTGTATGATCAGTGATGGACATTCTTCAGTGAATGGACATTTGGGTCGTTTCCACCTTCTGACTCTTAAGAGTGATGCTCAGCTTGGCGAGACCTCGTCTCAACAATAAATAAAAAAATTAGCTGGGCATGGTGGCGCGTGCCTGTAGTTCCAGGTACTTGGAAGGCTGAGGTGGAAGGATCGCCGGAGCCCAGCAGGTTGAGGCTGTGGTGTGTGTGATCGTGCTCCCATCACTTGGGGAAATGCAATTCCCCCAGGGCGGGTTCTCCGGGCCAGGTGGTGATGCCATGTTCAACTTCCTGAGGGGCCTCCGTGCCGTCTTCCAGGCGGCTGCCCCGTTCTGCATCCCCACCTGCTGCGCCCGAGGGCCAGTCCCTCCCTTTTTAGCC